GTTTGTCTCTGATTGTATTCAAATGACAAACTACTGAATGCACTCTTCACCTTGTTTGCATAGAGAAGTTTAGGTGTGAAGCAGCAACCATCAGCAATAAAGCAAAAAAAAAAAAAAAATACAATGAAATTTGTTCCACTCCACACAGAAAATAACTCTAAAGATGAACAATGTGCCTTAATGCCTTACCTGTCATCAGGCTCCTCCAAGTCCTTATCAGCATTGTCTACAGCTACCAAACCCTATAACATTTCATCCTGACTTATAATATATATTCTTCACCTATTTTTCCACTTTTATTCTCGGTAACCCGCAAAATGGAGCAACTCATTAATAGATATGAAATCAGTAAAAAGAAAAATGAAAACTTGCAATAACAGCAACATTTGAAGGACGAGGCAGTGTAGTCACTGTAAGGCCTATACAACTGGATTCCTGAGACATTCGTGAGCGGTGCAAGTAGTCTTTCCGTGTTTGTGTGTGAACGTGCTTTTTCACATGATGCAACACTTGTTCTTGTGCGTGTGAGGATCTTTGAAACGAAGCCTCTGTTTCGATCGATATTTCTCCAAGTATGTCAGCTGTTTACTGTTGATGGCTCCTCTGCGTTTCCTGCATTGACCAAATGAGACAGTGGATCGTTTTACAATAAAGAAATCCCAGAAGATATTAAATAATTGTCTGCTAAACTTTACCAGTACATTTTAAAAACTTAGATCAAATAATTTTTTCTGTATCAAATGTGTGTGCGTGCGTGCGTGTGTGTGTTTTAACACAGATCATCATGAAACTCGGAATTGTGTGCTGGTCCTCTCTTCTGGGGAAATATCTTTTAAAAACCACTGAATGCACTCTTCATCTCATGTCTATCTTAATGATAGATACTCTACAAAATAACATCTTTTAAATTCAGTTTTGGTCTGTGCACTCAAACAGCCAGCACTCCTTGAATCCAACTGTCAGAATGTGGGATATCCAACCGTTTCTCTCTGAGTCGGTTTCAGAAGTTGCACCTTTGCTACCGATGTCAGCAGCGTTCATTTGGTCAGCAATGCTGGTATGAAAACACACTGAAAATCTTTTGCTTATTAGTCTCTTCAAAAAGCACAAACCTGTTTCNAACCCCCGAAAAACTTTTTTTTTTTTGATCCTTAAAAAAAACCAAACCCTTTTTTCCCCCCCCCCCCCCCAACCACCCTCCATTTTTGAAAAAATAAAATAAAATAAAATACATAAAGCTGGATTAATATCAGAACAAATATTATTCCTCTGGCTGAGTACATAGGGCTGTTTCTTTATGATGAAGGTTATATTAAAAGAATAATATCGCTGGAGTAATCATTTGATTACGCTAAAAATGCATTTTGGTCTGAAGAAGAATATTCTGTATAATTTTAACCTATATAGAGTGTGGTGGTGGTGTTCAATAGATAATAGTTCATATAAAGCGTAGCAGTAATAATTTGTTCAAATTCAAGCTTAAATAGATTGTGAGAACTATTTCTGATTTTTAAATACTATAGATAATCTAACACTTACTGCCTGATGAGCTGAATGGCATCCTCATACTTCATCCCGCTTTCTATCAGCGCTAAAGCCACCAGCACAGGAGCCCTGCATGCATGTATATACAGACAATCACTGCTGCAACCGTGTCAATTCATGTTGATTTTTCGTCGAGCTACTTTCATCTTTTATCTTGTACCTTCCCAATCCAGCTACACAGTGAACAGCCACACAACACCCAGGATCCTCCTGAAACTTCTTCTTCAACAAAGTCAGCCAATCATCAACCAGCTTGTTAGGGGGCGGGGCTCCGTCGTCAAAGGGCCAATCCTGAAAGGGAGTACAATCTCAGGATCTTTGTGTTTAGGTGCGTAAATGAAGATAGAGTGTGTCAAATGAAAAAAAGATGAGTCCGTACCACTACAGTGATCCCATCTTTCTCAAGAGAAGTTTTGTCGTAAGTGCTGTCGCAAACACGCACCACAGTTGTGACTCCGTACCTTTTTAAGACCTGTGCGAAGGAAAAGCATGGAAAGAGCAGTGGTGAAGCAACTAAAGACGTAGCTGTAAAACAAGTTTTTGATCTTAGACAAATATTAATATGAGACGTTAAATATATAAAAAAAAAAAAACAGAGAAGTGACAAGACATCCAAACCAACCTGGTCCAGTGTGAAAAAGTTATTGCCTCCCAAACTTGATAATTAGTGTTATCAAGTTTTTACAATAACTGTGAAGAGTAATTTAAATTGCTGTGGGGGGATTTTGGCAGACTGTTCTCTGCAGAATGATATTAATTATGTCCCATGATAGGGCTTTGGGGCATTTCAATGATTTGGTTTTAACAAGTGCAGACTTTGGCTACTTTACTGCAAAACAGTTTTTTCCTTGTCATTTAAGGGTTGACTTGCAAGTGTGCTTCACATCGTTTTCAGATATAAACCAGTGTTTATGGTTCCATCAGTTATGTTAATTTGTCCAGCTTTTGCAACAGTAAGAAAAGCCTGCTTATTTAATTGTACCGTTATTATGTTTGGCTCTTTGTATGATCTTTTTTTTTCCCCCCGGAATGCTGTGTTAGTTTCATGGCAGATGTAAAGACACACAATTTCCCTAGTGAATATTTTTTTAATATTTTCCCAAACGTATTGAGAATTTTTGTAATCACCAGGTGTTTTTTGTCAGTCTCTTTCTCATCATTGACCATGAATTTTACTTAAATGAGGCAACTAAGATCTGCAGAGTTGTAGATGTTGTACTTGTTCAAGATGCTGTGAATTGTCATTTCACACGCTCCGCAATCATCAGCTCTCTACTGGCAAACACATGTAAACATGTAAACACTAGGGTATGCTGGCGCTCCAAAGAGTAAGCGATGGCTTTATACCCATTTCCAAACTGTGTGATGATAACTTCATCATGCACATCATTATGCTGAAAGTTTTCTTGAGCGTACTGACTAAACAATATTTGGAAGATGAGCATGAGAATGATATGGTACTGTTTGATGTCTTTTATGAAATTACTTATATAGCATTTTTCTGGAGGCACAAAGACACTTTACAATGACATTGATCATTCCCAGTCATGCATACATTTACACAAGTTAATGGTGGCACGTTTTTGGCCATTGGCCTTTCTGACCACCACCAGCAGGCAGAGTGGATTAACATTGTCTGACAGGTACTAATTAAGTTTTTTTTTTTTTTTTTTCCTTAAAAATCATAGTTGGTGAACTTTTCTAAATATGTGGTTAATTACAGGTAGTCACTTTTGTACAGAGGTCCAGGTTAGCTTGTGCAGCTTTTCTTTGAGCAAATAAATCACTATTTGAAAGAGGGCAGCATATGTACATTTACCCTGTTTATCATTTCTGGATATAAAAATTGTCAAATGAGCATTTAAATGTGGATAAAAGCAACAATAGAAAAAAAATTGCTAGAAATTTCTTAGGGCTCAACTACTTTAAAACTGGGATTTACTAATAGTTTGTGAGCAGGACAAACTGACTTCAGTATCATTTGTGTGCATACACTCACGTAGGTTTGAACAATAACAAGATTATTTTCCGTATGGCACTCTGAGTTCACACCCACCTCTATGAAGGAGTTGAGTGTGCTGTCTGTGGGGTTGTGTGTGATGAGGAATCTCATGTTCTTGTGGCACAGTTCCACAGGAGCAGGACGGTTCATGGTGGCTTGTTTAACCTTTGGCTCTGCAAGGAGACCTCTGACCTTCATAATGTGGCAGGAATGTGTTAGTAGAAGGCTCAAAGTAAACGTTTCCTTCAGCATAGTGTCTGTGTACAGGATATCTGAGCCACTACAAATATGAAGAGGCTTTTTTCCTGTACAAAGGATTTAAAATATATTGTTTTAAATCCTTTGTATCATAAAGTCATACTTTTAATCAGTCTTTCAAAATTTCAAACAGCTCTTTAGTGAATATTTTTCTTCTTGTATGTCTGTATGTCAGCTGTAAATATGAAATATTGCAATATTTCTAATAGACAGTTAGTCATTGCTATTATGTCAAATATGATGTTCCTAAAACAAATATTGACAGTGGCACTGATTAAAATAGAGTAGAAAATAAAATTAATCAAGATGAATCTGATTCTTTCATGCTTTATTAATAAAACAAAAGTTTAGCATAATAGACTTACAAGAACTGCATTGTGTGTAAGTGAATTAATTTTTTTTTTGTATTAAAACAAAGAATCTCATCGTCCTTTGGTCAAGATTTAAAATATCATCGTTGATGCAATTTATTGGACCTATAGTTTCTGCTTAGTTATGTCAGATAGCTCAGGTCAAAAACAATACAATGCATGAATTTACATTTGAATTTAAGATTTTGACCTAACTTGTGTAAAGTTGCAACTTTGCCCGGCTTCATCTAGCATGAGCTTCCCCATAGCATTCCAAAAAATACAAATTATTGCTTGTAATTTGTATTTGTAAACAGGATCTGTGATAGTATAATTAATCTGTAAATAAGAGGTGATATAATACATTCACAGAAAACACACATTTACTGACAATGGACTGCTGTCAGATATCTTGAGTCCAGTAGTTAAGTTGTGTACATATATCAGATGTATTCGAACATAAAATTATAGTAATTTAAAATGTCTTTCAAAATAGTCTTACCTGTTCCATTAAAATGTCTCGCATTATCATGAACTACAGAGCAGCTACTGCAGAACCACCTTCACAGTATCTTGTAGATGTTGTAATAAAGAGCTCAAGCAATGGTGCATCACAACATTTTATCCAGATCATGTGACCAAATATGACTCACCTTTAGCTTCAACTGTAGTAGTGTGTAGCTGTGTCTTTAACTTAAATCTCCAGATGACTATGGACCTCCTTCCTGTTTTTTTTAACCGATGTATATTCACCAGTCCTCAGGATATGTTTTCCAGATTGTTATGCCATCTGATGCCTGTGTCCTATAGTCCAGTAGTCTGCACTGTCACTCTTACTTTTTATGCTTGTGATTGTCTCTGATGCTTGCTTTCTTTTGTTTCTCTCAGTCACTCTTTCTGTCCTTTTCTCTCGGTTCAGCTTTCAGTGCTGAATCTCCACTTGCTACCCCATTAGCTGGTGAGTTCATAAGGCAAATGATAGCGCTCTTTCAGTGTTCATGGCCCCAAGACTGCATGGCGCAGCATCGTCCCAGGCACCGTCTAAATGTGTTGAGCGTGGCAGTAGTCCCCACTCTGCCGCACAAACGCCATCAACCGACGGTTCTGAAACAGAAAATACAAAAATACAAATATTTGGGGTTTAAAAAAAAAGAAAAAAGCTTTGTAGATGGACGATTTAGAGCTATGGAGATTACTAATTAGTTACAAATGGGAAAATAGCCCTCTAAGCTCCTTACAGCACCCTCCACAAAAATAGGAATTAATGAGATAAATTTGTACAAAGCTAACAAACAAATGTATCTCTTATTACCATGTAATATTTTCACCCAAACAGTTTACTCTTTAAAGTTGATGAGTTTTTCTGGAAACTGGATTTTTAAGAATATTGCTATGAAACATTTCAATATGTTCTGTGTTACCACACAAGGACTTTGCATTCTGTAGTTTCAGTGTTCATGTACTGATCCTGTTTTTTGCATGTTCAGATGTCATTTGGTTCCTGTATTTTTCTGATTATGCATGTGTTGGTGCATGTTCTGCTATAACTGTTTTTCAATTTTTGATTAATAATATGTTGATGATGATTTGGAAGCATTTGACACAGCAGATTATGACACATTTCGCTGAAAACGTATGACTGACGCCATTCTGACGAAGCAACTGGCTCTTTTTATTATTACCATCTTTCTGGTCATGAACAGTTTGTTCGACACAGTTGTGTTTGTTTCTGTTATTGTTATCAAACAACAAGAAAATTTACATTTTCCCTGCTGCTATGTCCAAGCAGGATTTGTGTCTGTTGTAAATGTCTTAGTATTTTTATATATATATAAATAATTCTTTAAAATTAAAATAAAAAACTTAACTCAAAACCATCCATTTCATTTTCATTCCAGTCAACAAGTGACCTTCTGTTCTCTTCGGAAAATCCTTAGAAAAACAATCAGCGAAAGCCCAGAGGTAAGGTGCGGTCATCTCTAACACCCAACACACAGACTCACTCTACCAGGAGCCTGTTGACAGTCTATAATTAGTCATTTATCCGGCGTTGTTTATAATCAGGATAGAGATTCCCTTTTTGCTTTCACTCAGGTCCATTTAAAGCAGCAAAGCCAATTTGCAGTTATGCTGTTGTGCCATTTGTGTAGAAGAAAAACAAAGGAACCCCATCAGGAATATTTGTTATGAACATTATGAGTCCATGATGTTGCTCTGATTTAAAGCTAAATGAAAATGGTAATCTTAACAGGCCTGCTGTGATGGCAGCACACCGCACACACGAGATAAATTCTAACGACTCATTTACCTTTGCTCATTTTCAGTTTAACGCCTGCAGAAGTGCTCTGGTAGAGTAAGTCGAGAGCTTCTGTCTTACCTTATCTGACTGCTCAACAGCAAAACCCAAAACGGAGGCAAAAAGTCAAATAAAACAAAGTCCTGAAGCAACAGCAGCCGCAAAAAGGTTAGTGTGCTGACATTACAATCAGCTGACTCCCCGTTATAGTAAACCTGCACTAAATACCTACAGCTGTATTTATAGATCAATCTATACCGGTGACTGATTATGTGACGCATCAAATTTTTGGTGCCAACAACTGGCACTGAGCTGTGCACTCTGGTGTTCCTCCTCCGTGCTGCTTCTGGAGAATTTGTCAAACTTCTTTGATTGCAATCACTGCAAGCACCAACATATTCAATTAATTTCATTTGAGACCTCCACAGCAAACTTTTAGAGTGTTTTTTTATTATTATTTTTTTACTTCTGGTTATTTGACCACATCAGGCAACATGTAAACAGCAGCAACAACATTTGTAGGAGTTTACTCTTACCACTTAGGTCCTCAGTGTCCCCTCCAAACACAGATTTTGTTCAGTTATTCTGGCTTTCAGTCACCTCGTTTTTAGTAGTTTTCCACAACGAACAAGAGAGACATCCAGAAGCAAGGGGGGTGAAGTAATTCTACAACCACCTGTAGCTAACTGTGACCCACTAGAACATTAACCTCCTCCCTTTCTTGCTGCCCTTTCTGGCCAGCTCTGTAGTCACTGCATCGTGCTGTGTGTGCCCGTTTGTGGCTCTCTTCTCCTGCAGGAGTACAGCGTGTATGCTGGGCTGAGAATCTGCTGTGAGCTGGTCTAATCAGGCTGAGCAGCCATCTGACCCTGACACTCCTGTCACCACCAGAATACTCCAGAGTTAATGCTCTTAGAAAGAGAGACGAGGAGTGTGGTTCCCGCTGTTATTCTTCCCCTTCATCTCTTTCCTTTTTAAAAGCAACTGGTCTTTCTCACTGCTTCCTATCTCTTCTGTTCACTCCCTGCTATTCAGTTTGCGATGCATCCGTTATAACATGACGTTTTTTTTGTTTTTTCTTTGAAAAGTAGAGCTCTCTTTTCAGTTTATGTTTTGCACATTGACTTGTTTCCCCTCTCCCTTAGAGATCTAAAATTAGATAGTCGTTTGAGCTTCCAGACAGACTGGACAAGTAAACTCACTGATCCTCCGTTAATGGAATAACACTCCTCTATAGGACAGTGACAATTTGAACTTTGTTTCATTTTAGAGAATCAACAGTGAGAGCATTACTTTGACTGAAGAATTTTAGCTCATTGCAAAGTTATCACAGTAAATCAGAAGACGGATTTGCTCTCTCCCAAAAGGTTTTATGAATGATGACTTGCAATGCTCTACGCACCCTTAGAAGTTGTTGTTGTTGTTTTGTTTTTTTTTACATTTTGTCACACTACAAATACAAACATAAGTGTTTTTTTTTTTAGATTTACTGTGACCAACACAAAGGAAACTATTAGTACCCACTAATAGTGGGTCAACTTTGTATTAGTCAAGATTAGTTGCATGTTTTTTAGGGTGGGTCTGTGTTGGATTTTCAGGTCCAAAATCTCTAGTCTTTGTCCATTCTTCTGCAGAGCATCTCATCCTTGGTAGCTGAAGAGTGACAGTGAACAAGGTTTTACTACCTATTCTCAGTTGGGTTTAGGTCTGTACTTTAACTTGGCCATTCTATCACATAACTTTGCTTTGATCTAGACCATACCACTGTAACTGTAGCTAACTGAGGCCATCCTGTGGAAAGTCATACCTCTGCAACAGTCATTAGTCTCTTGCAGCCTTAAACAGGTTATTCTCTGGGATTGCCCTGTATTTAGCTCTATTCATCTTCTCATCAAAGCTAACCAGCTTTCCTGACCCTCCGTATTTCTGTTCTCCTTGCCCAGCCTGACAGCTTAGGTTTATAGCAAAGACTTGGAAGAGTTGGACTCTTCTGGAGACTATTGGTTTGACTGGTTTTAATTTAACAAAACAAATACACTCCACAGTTCTCAGCATTTTCTTTTCAGAAAATACTGAAAAAGCTTGCATGTTGTTCTTTTCACTATACAGTTATGTGCTACTTTGTGTTGCCATGTCAGATAAAATTTTAACAAAAATAGAAACTTGTAGCATGGCAAAATGAGGGGAAAAATGTAATGGGTTTTGAATGCTTTTGCAAAGCCCTGCGTTCACATTTAGTCAGAAGGCATTCATTACATGTAACATACTTTTAAAAGAATAACACATTAAGGTTTCCATTAATCACAGTGAGTTGAGGTTAACGTGACTGCCCACCCACAGTGGTGAAAAACCACATCCTAAAGGCTAAAAATAACTGTGCATTTTATCATATCAAGTAAAGAAACTCTTGCTTAAGTTTTCTGACAGTCAAAACTGTCTTGGATCCACAGCGGTGAAAAGTATTTGGCTGATATGTTCTGGCTTGATATTACCCCACTTTTGGTTTTCATTAGCTCCTCATGTGATGTTTTGAAACCCAGACAACAAACCCACATATAGCCTGAAGAGGTGATAAGAAATTCCAAAGTCAGCTTGACAGTTTTACTGATAAACACTCTCAATAAATGAGTGGGGGGTAAAAAAAAAAATATTTTGCTTAACCTTTTGGTTGAGCATTGGAAACTTAAATTGATGCACTATTCGTTACAGGCAACAGTAGAGGTGTTGTTAGTATGGGTCTGATGCAGGAATATGAAAGCAATTCAAATGTGGAATTCTGGACATCAAGTCAAAGAAAGAAATTAAGTCATGTTGCGTCTTACTGCTCAACCAGACTCATAGTCTCACATTGAAGTGGAAAGAAAAGAGTGTTTTCAAGGCCTCACTCCCATTTTTATCAAATAAATCAGTAGGATGCCTTGCAAAATATTAAGCTGAATCATTTCACCATAGCTTCATTCAAATGTCGGGGAAGTGTTTGAGGCATCACAGTCCACTTATTGAAAGGATCATAGTACCAATAGTGAATACCTAGGATTGCTGGCTAGACCTTGAAAGTGAAACAGAGATAACTAGTTTAAAAGTTGCAATATTTTTATATTTGTTTGCGAGCATTTTTTCAAATTAAATGTCTAACTCAAACTTAGTTATGAAGATACATTATTGTCCCAGTTAGAGTTAGCTTGTTTTGCTAAATTTAAGGTGCTCCCTTTGTATTTTTGGTAATGTTATGCAACTTTTTTTAAAAGGTAAATGGACTAAAAACAAGACCACACACTAAGTGATGAACATTTCTTGAAAACAGTGAATGAGTAAACATTCGGGCGATGTCCCTCTTATTTACTCCTCACACACTCCAAGTAAATGAGGCTGTTGTTGTACTTGATCCTTCTTGGTAGGCTATTTTTGGTGTTATGCAATGAGTGCCTCTATTTAAAACCTTCTGATTCTTTTGTAGGGGAGCTATAATCTGGCTCAGTAGCTTCTAGTCTCACTTGGATGTAAAAATATGGTCTCTAAATGCAAGCATATATGTCACAAAAATAGATTATTTACAGGTGGTAAATCTCAGTAAAGGCATTGTATATGAAAGCTACTGAGGAGGAAGATTAGCCATTTATCTTCTTGTTGCTCACAAGTGAAGCAAACTGTTCCTTCATTCAAAGCAGATGACAGAATTAAGAGTTTAGGGAAGCTTAACATTGACACTAATTATCCATGTTGATATACATAATTACACTGTGCATGCCCTCCACTCAAGTACTTTGTTATGTGGTCCCACAGGAAGGATCTCACTCATGAAGCAGTCTGAAATGCAGAGTGAATTTCTGATTCAGTAGGACTCTATGACCTTTGAACCCCAACTAATTCAAAGCTTCAGTTTAATTCAAACTCCAATTAAATCAATTTTATGATCTTTCAAGCAAGGAATAAAGTGTTGGGGTTTCTTGCCATTGTTATGAAGATCTCTCTGAAAATCTATTTTGACATATATTTTTTTGTTTGGATATTCATTTCCTGTCTGTGGTTAATTTGTTTTTTTGTCACTTAAGAACAGCAACAAATTGAGTGATATCGTCTCAAAGTCAGAAATGGAAATTGTCTCACAGTGAAAACTGAGAGTTGGTACTAATGTTTTAATTTCTTTCAGACTGAATTATTGTCAAAAGCCTCAGGAATGTCCCCAGCAAATCATTATTTATCTGCCTGCAAAACATCCACTACCTGCTTGGTGTTCACTAGCAGTTTTCACACATCACAATACTTCACACCCACCTACAATAGTTCCCTATCGACTTCAGTGAACAAAACTCGGTTCTTACTTTTAAAGCTTGAAATAGACACTATCTCAGAACCTTTACAACCACATGTCTCTGGGAGGTTCCTGAGGCCTTGTGATCAGGGCCTGCTGGTTGAGTCACATACGAGGCTGAAAGCTGAAGGTGACAGTCTTTTCAGCAACACTCTCAGTCAATCTTGTTGAGTTTGAGAACTGAGGATGTTTTTTTAACAACAATCCTTTTAAATTGATTTTACATAACTATGTTTATTCAACGGTGTAATGTACAGAAAATTGTGATTGTACCTTAAAAAAAGCTAAATAAGTCACATTTTATTTACTTGTTTGTGATAAACCAAAAGGTAGAATTTTTTTTTTTTTTTTTTTTTTTTTTTTTTACAAAAGATGTTTTGAAAATAACGGTGTGCATTTTATTTATCCCAGGATGGTAACACATTTTAAAACCACTTTTCATTACAATCGTGACCCCACCAGCTTAGCGATATTTTCTTTTCTTTTCTGTGCACTTTAAACTGAGAATCCTCCTCAGTTTTAGTTCCTTGGTCTTCATGATGCTGTTTATTTAAATTAAATTTGAAAAGTTTAATTTTAATTACACTTCACAAGTATGAATTACGTCATTGTGAACTATCAATAAAGCTTCAAAGATTCACTGAAGTTTGTGACTGCAGTGTGAATACTTTTCGAAATATGAAAATATGAACTGGTTGTTTAAAATGTTGTGGGAGTCTTGAGCTAATCTAAATTGAATATTTTCCACAGATCGTTATCTCAGAACATTTCCAGCCTTCTACACATAAAGGGCATCACACACACATACATGGAAGAAATACGCGCAGAGTCAACCATGTGGCAGGCAGCAGCAGCTGCTGTGTGTATAATTAGAATGTTTTGAAAGCCGAGAGCCGGAGAGTTAGACTTTCACCTGCAGACTGAGGGGTTGCCACCACAACAAGTTGTCACTTTTATATTTTCAGTAAAAGTTTCCCACAGTAAAGAATGTCAAGAAATCCTGGGTTCACATTTTTTAACCCACATCCAGAACGCAATCAGGAGAACAGGAAATCAGATCAATAAAGTTTATTTTGACAATGATGAAATGTGAGAATTTGCGGTTCTTGTCCTGTGGATGGGAAGCCATGGTCGCCAGAAGTCTGAAGGCAGTGGGAGAGAGATGGTTAGTTGAATGCAAGTTGGACAAGTTGAATTATGAAGAACTGGAATGGTATTTCTTGGTGTGATGATGAGTTTCCGCTAGGGGGTGGGAGGGAGAGTAATGTGGTCTCTGGGGTTGTGGTCTCTTTGCAGCGGTCTTTGAGATGATCCAGGTTCCAATGTGTGAACCAGACAGCGAGTTCTTTGGAGGTTGATGGGAGAGGCTTGTGGTGGAGGGCGGACAGGTAAGTTCTTGTGAGGAGATGAAAGGTGTGATCCAACTGCCAGCTGTGAATCCAGGAACTGTCAACGAATCTTCAGCAAAGGCGATTATGGACTCAGGCAACCAGTGGGTAAAATCCAAGGCGGCACAAGGAAACACCTGAAAGAGAAGCAACAGGGAACTATTACTTGAAATAATGTCATAGAAACTTCAAAGAGCTGACTCAGAGGGGCGCAGAGTACCATAACTGGCAAAACACTCAGGCGTCGAAGTGCTGGCAGCCGCTCCTCATGTTCTCCTATATGATGATGAGATGATAGATCCCAGGTGCGCTGAAACCAGACAGCAGGCACGTCCTACAGGTACGTGCAGCCTCTTGGCACCATCTAGTGGATGATGAGGGAAGCAGCAGACAAACAGAAAATCCCCACAAAGAGCCAAATATATATATATATATATATATATATATATATATATATAAAAACTTCAAAATTATTATTATTATTTAGGATATTTTATTTAGGACTTCTTTTTTCTTTCGGTCCTCCACTCAGCAGCTTCTTTCTTCTCAGTTTGGGTTTTTATTTTCCATCACAACAACATAAATGTTGATGAAAATAATTCATCTCTGATTCCCTGTTTCTCCTTTTTATTTGTGTCTGAGCAGGGAGAGTTTCATCAGGTGTTACGGCAGCTTGATGGAATCGGACTCCGGTACCGTCAGTAGTGAGGCGAACGAGTTGGCGGTTCGTGTGTCGCTACGACTCGCTCATCTGAGGCGACATTGGTGGGGGAGATTTGAGGTCAAGCAGCCTGAAAACGGCCTCACCTGAGCCGATGGACACCGGAAGAGAGGAGACGCAGTGAGCTTCTCCTGCTGGGCAGATCTGAGAAAAGAAAATGAGGATTTAACTCTACCCTCCTGAGCTGCTTTCTGACCCAGATGAACTCCATCCATCCATTCCTGGTTCCCTTCATTCTTCCATCCTGGTTCCCTCCCTCCATCCATTCTGTCTGTCCATCCATAATGTCAATAATCATCGATAATGTTAAGCATAAGGTTAAGCATTACCCTTGATTAAATAAAAAGGAAAATCGGGGACAATGTTAAATATCCTGGATATTAAGCTAAACATTGGAGATAAAGTAAGAAATCCTGGATGGCATTAAACAACCACGATAACACTGAATGTTAAACATCAGATATAACTACAACCATTGACTAAAGTGTAACATCGAGGACAATGTTAAGCTTTGTGGATAAACATTAATAAATCATGCAACTTTTTTTTCCGCATGATTTATTAATTTGAGTTCAAGTCTGCAAATCTTGGCAACAAGAATACCAAACATCAGACTGCACCTTTGACACATGATCACTAATAACATATCAATAGAAACTAGTCCATAATATTGAGCTGACACAGATAATGGATGAAGGGATTAATTAATTTTTGTTTTTGTGACATTTGATCTGGTCTGAATTCAAAATGCTTAATTATTTATGTTTTTGACTTGATTTGCTTATGTTTTTTATGATTTTTTTGTAGGTTGTGGACAAAAGTAATGAGACCTGATTCAAGTTCAATGCTGTCATAATGTAGCATAATTCTGACAACTGACAATAATTTGCAGAGACACTAAAATTCAGAAATATATAGCAAACCCAAGCTTGTGTTTGAGCACACGGACAAATAAGTTTAGCCACAGTTCTACCCATGGGAAATGGGACAGGGGTTGGTGGCGAAATAGGTTTACAGGCCAGACTCCAGTTAGGGTTCCAACAATACACTGGCTTTGAGAATGACGTGAAGCTGAGTAAGACCCATCTGCTCCCTGCTGCTCTTTAGCCATCGTTAAATGGATTAAACCTGCTACACACTGCTGTCATGCAGCACGGTGTGCTATGTGGTCCAGGCTGTGTCCATATGTAAGTGGTCACAGAGCAGTCTGCTGTGTTTCCACTCAGCCAGGTGTTACTGTCTGCTGTTCAACTTCTGCTCTCAACTTCCATTGAGTTGATTTAATTTAAAAAAAGAGAGAGAGAGAGAGATTTGTGCAGTCTCAGAAAAGGGACGTTAGGAACAAAGTTCTGCCGGATGCTTCAATACTAGTAGATCTGTCAAATAGCACAGACTTAAAGTGATTTGAAACATGATTTGGTGACTTAGGACAAAATTAAAAATATATATATATATTTAACATCCCTGTTTTTCCAAAGATAATCAATAAAATATTAATTTAAAAAAAGCATTTTCGCATAATATCCACAACTCACTTTTTAAATGTCTTGAATATGATAAGAAACAATCTGTTTCCTGTTTAGATGTTGGTTACTCTAAAGTTTTCTTTGGATTTGAAGCAAGTTGTAATGGAGCTTTCGTGTTAAAAAGATCATGTTTATAATGTCAAAGATATAAAGATTAATCAAAAACAGATGGAGCAGTATCTTGTATAGTGAGGGATCAAATGTTTTGTCAAATAATTAACAACAGTGCACAGTTCTTTACTTGCTAGGTCAATTTCATGAGCCATTTTAAATAAATATAAATAATTTTGTTTTTACCTGTCTAGTCAGTCACAGCTTCCTGCTTTGTATGTAAACTTCCATAAAAATAAAAATCTTTGCAGTTATTGTGAGATACCACTCCATTTTGTTAGCATGACTTACGATCTGTTGTTATAATTTGATTTAAGATTTAAAGGATAGCTCTTTGAGATAACATTTAGGCTATTAATGTGAGCCACTGCTTTACGCAACTAAACTTTTTCTAAAAATAATAAAGTAAGTCATAAAAATGGCCTTGAAAGTGAAGTGCATATCTTAATTAAAAAGCAGACATCACCTTTACACAGTAGTTAATGAAACTGGCATTATCATTCGAGTGTAGAAATTGAAATTAATTTGAAAATGCAGCTGCAAAAGGAGGGTCCCAATGGCTGAGCTATATCATTAACAGCCTGCCATACTGTGCATAACAGATGGCCTGCAGAGATTAAACAGCTGACCTCCGAGTGGCCCAGATAAACATATAGAGATTCGTATGATGCCGTCATGGAAACTGATAAACATCAAACCTGCGAATCTGGCTCCTGTTTTCGGTTTGAGTTAGTTGCTCATCAGCTGAAAATGTGTCAAAAGTGCACAAAGTCAAAAAGATTGTAATATTTGAAAAAGTGGTCTTTCTCTTAGGTGTTATTTTATTTTTGTTATTTTATTTTCAGCTAAAGCATGCTGAAATTTATTTTGCAGCCAGGATTTCCTAATTTATTAATTTAATTCCAAATGCAAAAAAAAAAAAAAAAAAAAAAAAAAAATTTCCTTTTTTTTGGGAAAAAAAGGACCCCGAGGCCAGATTAACCTGGAAAAAGG